CATCGCTCTCCCTCTACCTCACCCTGCCTCTTCTCTCTCTCTCTCTCTGCGGCAGAGGATGGTGGCGTGGTTTAGTTAGCACGGGCGAAGCTACGCAATCCTTGCTTGCTGTGGGCAGGTACATGCATAGCCCAAGCATACAGCATAGCCATGTTCGCAAGAAGGAGGGCGAACGAAGCAGAAGAAGAAGAGTCTGTCCTAAGCAACAACCAAATAAACGTCAACATGGAACAGTCCAAAATACATCAAACATCAACAACCGTGTCACACACACACACAGACGAGACACACACACACACACACACACACAGACGAGACACACATATGAAGGGCAAAACAGGAGAAATACAACAAACAAAACGTCGCGATTTGACATGGGCCAAGGCAGAGAAAGAAACATAACATGGTGTTCGATTATGCGACGACTAATGCAGCTGGTGCTGCTCTTGTTTTTGTAGCTGCGATAACAGGCGGTGGTGTTACTCTTGCGCGTCACCCAGCGGTGGCACCTCATCATGGCCATCAACCGCATCATCAATGTCCATCCCCATATCGGCGTCGCCGTCCGTGAAATCACCAAAGAGCGGGCTTGCCGCGCGTCCGTTGGGATCGTCACCCGGCTGCTGCTGCTGCTGCTGCGTGTGCGGTTGCTGATACTGTGGTGGCTGTTGTGCCTGATGCAGCTGGGGATACGCTTGTGGCTGCGGTTGTTGTGCTTGTTGCGGCTGTTGCTGATACTGTTGCGGTTGTTGCTGCTGGTAGTAAGCGGAGGGCGCTGTTGTGGCCGCTGGCGCTGCACCCGTCGGCAGCGACACTGGCGCCGTCATGGCATTCGTCCCCGTGCCTCCCGGCTGCTGCTGCTGGTAGTGCTGCTGGTATTGCGCATGACTGGGAGCGGCCGGGTACGCCGCCTGTGCGTATCCACCTTGCTGCTGCTGGTGTGTTTGTTGGTGTGTTTGTTGCGAGTATTGCGGCGCTGCTGCCGTTGATGCTGGCGGCGGTGGGTTGGATGATGACGAGGACGGCTGCTGGTAAGGTTGGCCCGGGTACTGCTGGTACTGCTGGTGCTGCTGCTGGTATTGTGGGTAGTACGCATATGGCGCCGCTGCCGATGCTGAGGACGATGACGACATTGCAGCGCTGTGCTGGGCAGACGACATGCCCGGCACACCAGCAGACAACGACGATGGCTGCTGCTGCAGCAGCTGGTGCTGCTGTGGAGCCATGGGCGGTTGCTGCATGCCACCCATTGACGGCGCGTATGTGTGTGCAGACGAGTACGAGGATGCAGAGGACGATGCAGACGGCGTGTAGTGCGGCTGGCCCATGTATGCACCGGCCTGTGGCTGCTGCTGCTGCTGCCGCTGCTGGTAGTGATACGGGGACGGGTACTGTTGCTGGTAGGGCGCAGCGGCCGAGTTGAAGGTGTTGGCGTACATGTTTGCGGTGCTGTGGAAGTCTGACATGAACGTGAGTTGGCCAAAGTCGGCCTGCTCCTCAACACCGCCGGCAGCGCGCTGCTCGGTGTTGGACAGGTCAAGCTTGTCCCGCGCATATCCTGGCACGCACACATGCATGACAGCAGCAGGACGGTAGGAAGGGAGGGGTAAAAAGGGTGTGTGTGATGGATGAGATGGGTGAGAGATTGTGGGTTGTATCGATGCATGAAGCTTTGGTTTCAAACAAACCAGTAACTCATGGCGCATGTTTGCACACACACACACACGCACACACACACACGCACACACACACACACACACACACACACACACACACACACACACACGAACACACACACACACGCACACGCGCACACACATCCGCATCCCACATACGTCTGAGTGCATCCTCCTGCTCGTTCTTCGAGAGCTCGTCGTCCTCCGTGCACTCTTCAAGCATCGACGAATGCATGAACGGAGCCTGTCATGCAGAGGGAGCACACAGAACACAACAACACAACACGGCGCAGGGTGGTGGCGTTAATGCGAGTCGCATGTGCTTTCACCAAGAAGCAGCACCAGGATGTGGGGTCGCCAGCAAAGTCACACACACACACACACACATACACCACAACACTCGCACGCACGCACGCCACTCACAACGAGAAATGGCTTCAACCAAACAAACCACCAAGCAAGCAAGGGCACACGGCACAGCGCACCTTTGCAAGGTGCTTCTTGCAGTCGCCCTCGCAGATTTTCTTGAGGATGATATCGCGCCCGTCGCTGATGTCGCGCGGCGCCGTCTCCTCCGTCACAGCAGCCGGCGCCTGCAATGGTGGTGGGGGTGGTGGCGGGGGGGAAGATTAGTGGTGCGAGTGAGGTCAATCGGTCAGTGGTGAAGGCACGAGCGAACACACATAGACACACAAACACACACAAACACACACAAACACACACAGACACACACACAGACACACACACAGACACACACAGACACACACACACAGACACACAGACACACAGACACACACACAGACACACACAGACACACACAAACACACACACACACACACACAAACACACACAGACACACACACGGACGTTGTATGTGAAGAGCTGCCTGAGCTGGTCCTCGGTGAAGTGGCGCTCGGGGTTCTCCGTGTCCACCACGCGGTTTGCCAGCCCGACCTTCGTCACCTGCCGGTTGTAGATCGTCTCCTCCATCGTCCCTGCAATGTCGCAGTGAATGTCGAGAGTAAGGCGGTGATGGAAAAACGAATGCAAACAACCAACGACGGCGTGCATCGTGCCATCATCACACACAGTGCACGTCCCACTTACGCTAAGGCATGACAAAACAACCCACGAACAACCCATGAACAACCCACGAACACCCCCCCCCCCAAACACACACACACACACACACACACACACACACACACACACACACACACACACACACACAAAGCCATGCTGTGGCTGTACCTGCTGCGACGAGCCTGTAGATGAAGCATGGCTTGTCCTGTCCGTATCGGTACACGCGGCACACGGCCTGCGCGTCATGCGAAGGGTTCCACGATGTGTCCAGGATGACAACCCGCGACGCCGCCGTTAGCGAGATGCCCAGCGAGCCCGCACGCGTGGAGATGAGAAACGCGTGCATGTCCAGGTTGGAGCGGTCGTTAAACGCCTCAATCATGTCTGCTCGCTCGGACGCAGACGTGCTGCCGTCCAGGCGAAAGTAGTGCTTCTTCTTCTGCCACGCCTCGCGCGTGCCCGGCACAACAAGGCGCTTAAGGAACGACTCAACGAGGTCAAGCGCAAACAGGCTCTGCGAAAACACGAGCACCTTCTCCCGCAGCTGCACGCACAGGTGCAGCATCTGTTGTTCCGGTGGTGTGGCGAGGTGTGATGTGTGCGGGTGAGGAGAAAGCAGCGAGGAAAGGGAAATGTATGTTCTAGCAAAGCAGGCTAGCAGGACAGCTTGTTGCATCGTTTACACACACAGACACACACACACACACACACACACATGCACAGACACATGCACAGACACGCAAGTCCCGGTCTCATGTTGCACGTCAAATGGCGGCAAACGCACGGTGAGGAGGACGACAAACTTGCTGCCATTATGCAAGCTGCCCGGCTTGAAGTCTGTCGACTCGAAATAGGGGCGTGCCCACGTGTGATCCGCAGCGTCGCGCTTTCTCTTCTTCAGCGGAACGCTCATCTCCGCCTCCTCAAGCTCCTTCACCCTGCACACAGAAGAAATGACACAGAACAAAATGACAAAGCCATGTGCACACATGCGTGCACATTGACACACATGCACGCGAGTACCACAGCGGTGGATGAGAGACACGAACGAGGTTGGGATTCTCAGTGTGGGCGCAAGTCAAAGCACACAACACGAGCCAATACATACGCAGGCAAACAAACGACAGGAACAAGTGACAGAAAAGAACACACACACACACACACACGCTCTTACACATCGGCCAGCTGCGCCTGTATCTCGTGGAATTCGATGCCGAGTTTGTGCCGGCGCTCTGCGGAGATGGGCGGTGATAATGGCACCGCTTGCAGGCGCGACACGGGCGGTTGTCGTTGTTGTTGTTGTTGTTGTTGTTGTTGTTGTTGTTGTTGTTGTTGTTGTTGTTGTTGTTGAGGGGGTGCTTGAGAGGTTGATGCTTGTTGCTGCGGCTGCTGCTGTGGCTGTGGGTGCGGTTGCTGCTGGTGCGGTTGCAACTGCTGTGGCTGTGGGGGCTGCTGCTGCTGAGCCTGGCCCTGGTGTCCCGCCTGTTGCTGCTGCTGAGCCTGGCCCTGGTGTCCCGCCTGTTGCTGCTGCTGGCGCTGCTGGTACGGCGCTGCCTTCCTCATCTCGGCCATGATGGCGTCCTGGCGGGCAAACAGGGCAACGCGCTGCTTCTTGAGCTCGGCAATGCGCTTGAGGAGGTCGCGTCGCTTCGCCTCCTCGGGGGCGAGCGGCTTCATGGCCATGTGGTAGAACACATCCGGGTGGTTCCAGATCATCACCGCCGTCGAGTATGCGCGGAACAGCCGCCCTTTGCGGCCCTCCTCCTCAAGCACATACTGCAGCATCTGCACACGCGACGCGGTGGGGTGGGGCGAGCAGGGGCGCAGTTCATTCGTGCAAAGGGAGGAGAGAGAGGGAGAGAAATGAGCAGGGAAGGCGGAAAAGCGACAGAGCGACTGCATTTGCACCTTGCACACACACCCACCCACACACACACACCCACACACACACAGACAGATAGATAGACAGACAGCCAGCCAGCCAGCCACACCCACACCCACCCACACCCACACACACCCACATACACACACACAGCCAGCAAAAGCAGCTGCGTGCAGCGGGCGTACGTGTTTGTAAAGGGCCTCCTGCGTGTCGGACATCTTGACGGGGAGAACGTATTCCAGCTTGCGCGGGAGCGAGCGGTTGAGAATGCGGTCATCGCGGCGCTGCACGAAACCCGACAGCATCTTGTGTAGTACGTACGTTCGGTACCGCATCAGCTTCACGTCCTGTGGGCAGCGGAAAGGGACAAGGGGGGGGGGATGGTCGATGTGGTGAGTGACTGAATGGGTGCAGGAAGGGCACCAACACAGATACGCACGTGCATATGCACGCGCACACAGAGGCACACACACATGCGCACACACAAACAAACAATACAGACAGACAATACAGACAGTCAGACACGCGTAGAGGGGTAAGCGTTGCGGCCCCCTACTACACAAGTCACCTCTTGTCGCGAGTCGACGCAGTTTCCGTTCATGATGGGATTGACAAACATGTTGCGAAACTCCTCCAGGGTGCCGAGGTGGTCTGGTCGCACAAAGTCAACCATGCACCAGTACTCCTCGAGGTTGTTCTGCAGTGGGGACCTGGCGTGATGATGGTGGTGGCAGCAGTCGCAGTGGATGATGAGGGTGAGGTGGTGACCACACACACACACATGTGTGTGTGTGTGTGCGTGCGTGTGTGTGCGTGTGTGTGCGTGTGTGTGTGTGTGTGTGTGTGTGTGTGTGTGTGTGTGTGTGTGTGTGTGTGTCGACATGTGTGGATGAAGGAGCATACCCCGTGAGGACGACGCGGCGGGCTGTTCGAATCTTCTTCAGCACCTGCATGCATGTGTCACGTGGTGGGTCGTGCAAAGTCAAATGAGGAAAACAACACAACATACCGCAACACACATACACATACACATACACATACACATACACATACACATACACATACACATACACAACACACAAATACACATACACATACACAAACACAACCCAACAAACACAACGCACAGATACAAATCACCTCCCTTCTTACTTTTGAGATTGCAGCCTTCTCGTTCTTGATGCGGTGCCCCTCGTCGCACACGACCAGGTCCGGCCCCGGGTTGAGCAGCGCCTGCTGGATCTCAGAAAACTCCTCCACGTCCTCGGGAATCGTTTGTGTCGACGACGACGATGCTGAGGAGGCGGTGGCGGTCATGGACTTGAGGGATTTGGCGACACGGCCCTCCTCCCGCGCAAGGCGGCGCAGCATTTCGTACCCGACAATCAGCACCCCGCCCTGATGCGGTGGCAGGTGACGTGCGGCACACGGGTGGTGAGAACTGCAGCCATGGACTTATATGTGCACAAACAAGTACGTACGAAAGAATAGCAAGCAGGTGGACACAACGACACAAAATTGCATAGACAGACAGACAGACAGACACACACACACACACACACACACACACACGTACAAGACACGCACACACAAACACACACACACACAAAGACAACAACAAAGCGCTGGGCAACATACCGCCTCCTTCCAGCTCTTGATGGTTTCGAGACGTTCCCGGAAGTTTCGTCCGTCGCGCGCAACAAAGATGTTGGGCAGATTCGCAGACTTGAGCCTGGCGGAGATGGACAGGCCAGGGCAGGGTGATATGGGAGAGAGGAGGGGGAGAGAGAGGAGTTGGCAAGGATCTTGTGAGCAACACACGCAGGGGAGCAGCCAGCCAGCCGAGCCCCAAAAAGCACAAGTACACACACACACACACACACACACACACACACACACACACACACACACACACACACACACACACACACACACAGAGCGCGTGCGCACCACTTGAGGTATTCGTTTCTCCAGTTCTGGACGGTGTTGACGGGGACGACGACCATGACGCAAGATGCGGGCGTGGCGCGGAGAAAGAGCTCCGTAAACGTCACAACCTGCAGTCGTCGCACAGCGAGCAGCATGAGCACATGTGTCAAACGCACGCACAATCACACGCACATAAACACACACACACACACCCAGACACCCACAAACAAACAAACAAACAAACAAACAAACAAACAAACAAACAAACACGCTCAATAACGCACCTGCAGGGTCTTGCCGAGTCCCATACAGTGGGCGAGGATGCAACCAAAGCCCTCGCTCGTGTCAAAGTCCTCCAGGCTGTCGACAACATTCTCCCACATGAAGCGCACGCCGCCAATCTGGTGCGGCTTGAGGTATGGGACAAGCTCCTGCGCAACATACACGGGGCCCTCGCTCCCCGTGCGGTTCACGTTGATCTCAATCTGATCGTCCTCGACAACATTCACCCTGCAGTGGCGGTGGTGGTGGTGAGTGTGGTGGACGTGGTGATGGTGGCGGTGAGTGTGAGATGATCAGAGAACCGTGCAGACGACGGTGATTGGATGAAGGGACAACGCAGTTCACGAGGGCAGTACAACAAGCGCGTGTATGCGTGCGACTCACGAGTCGTCGAGATGGAGGAAGCGCGGGTTGGTGGAGAACGACTGCACCATCTGCTCCACTTCCGGGTCCTCATCGTCCTCAATGTCGATGATCTGACACATCAGGGCGAGACGCAGAATGTGTGTGTGTGTGTGTGTGTGTGTTGGGGGGGGGGTGGTGGAGTTCTTGGTGAGCAATGATGCACTTGGGCGCAGGCACAGGCGCAGGTGTCGACCAGAAGACAACACACAAACATATACACACACACAAACGCACACAGACAGACACAGACAGACAGACAGACACAGACAGACACACAGACAGACAGACACACACACACACACACAGACAGACACACACACACACACACAAACACCTGCATGCATGCATCGTCGGCACCCCTCCCCCTCCACCGCCTCCATGTCACGCACACAAGTCCTGCAGTTCATACCTCCTCTTCGTCCTCTTCGTCCTCTTCATCTTCATCATCGTCATCGTCGTCATCAAGGGTGATGGGCCCAGCGTCCACGGGTGGGAGATCAAACATGTTATCAAAGGCATCGCTCTGTGAACCCCCGACCGCATACGCCCCAGAGGTTTCTGCTTCTGCTTGTGTTGTGGCGACGGCTGCCATGTCGGGTGGCGCCGGCTCAAGCTGGAAGATGTCGTCCATCATGTCCACCTCGTGTTGTTGTTGTTGTTGTTGTTGTTGTTGTTGTTGTTGTTGTTGTTGTTGTTGTTGTTGTTGTTGTTGTTGTTGTTGTTGTTGTTGCTGCTGCTCTTCTTCTTGCTGCGGCTGCGATGGAAACTCTGGCGTGGGTGCCTCGGACGGGTGTGTTGGTGTGCTCTCGCCCTGTTCCGTTTTCACAGCTGGTGCAGCAGCTGGTGCAGAAGAAGTGGTAGCAGCTGCAGCCGTTGCCTCAGATACAGCTGCGCTGGCTGCGATTGTCGTGTCTGCGGCGCCTTCCTCGACGCTCGCTGCCTGTTCCTCCTGCTTCACAGCCACCTCCTCCTCTTTCGGCTCCTCTGTCGTCTGCGATGGCAGTCGTTGCATCTTTGGCGCGGGCGTCTCGCTCCGGGAGGGGTGGCGGCTCTGTGACTGTGACGATGTGGATGACAGTCGGTGCTTGTGCCCAGCTTCATCGGGCTGAGCTTCCTGCTTGATTGTGCCGTCCGCGCACTTGCGGTTGCTCTCTGTCTGCTGCTGCTGCTGCTGCTGCTGTTGTTGTTGTTGCTGTTGCTGTTGTTGTTGTTGTTGTTGTTGTTGTTGTTGTTGTTGTTGTTGTTGTTGTTGTTGTTGTTGTTGTTGTTGTTGTTGTTGCTTGCCTTGTTGTTTATGTTTGAGATCCTGTTCGTGGGTGCGAAAGGCGGCAATCTTGCGCTGCTGCCGCAGCAGCTCGCGTTCCTGCGCCTGCTTCATGGCGGAGCTCTGCCGTTGGATCTCCTTGATGTCGCGGCGGTGGCGGTTGATGTTGCTCTTCGCTCGTTTGAGTGGCGGCACATCACCAGCCGAGGACGTTGATGTGTGCTGGCGGCGCACGCGAGCACCACCGCCTTTCACTCGGCGGCCACCTTTCCGTGCCCGCCTCCTGCTATTCCTGCTGCCGGGCCCATCGCCGTGCACGGCGACAAGGCCAGCATCATTGTCATCGTCGTCGTCCTGCTCGTCATCCTCCTCCTCTTCTTCTTCCTCCGCCACATAATCGCTGTCTCCGTCGTCATCCTCAGCGATGTATTCATCATCATCCTCATCATCGTCATTGTCGTTGTCGTTGCCGCCGTCATCGGCATCATAGGGGTGCTTCTGGCCGGCGTCTCGAGTCCTCAAACGACATGCACCACGGTGTGCCTTCAGCTGCTTCATGTCCTCCTCATTCAACTCATCTTCATCGTGGTCGCCCAGCTCCTCGTTGTCGATGACCATATTCTCGTCAATGTGGTCTTCCAATGCCTGCGGTTTGCCGCTCGCCTCTGCAGGCGGCACCACGTCCTGTGCGGTGTCCATTTGCCCGCTTGCTGTTGCTAGCCGTGCTGCTGGCCGTGTTGCTGGCAGTTGTTGGAGGGAAGGAACTGGAGGATGCTGAAAGCAAACCTCACCGGTGATTGGCAGAAAGCAAGAACAGAGTTGGGCACAAAGGGAGGGGATGTCTACCCTCTGTCAATGTCTCTGTGTCTCTTGTGTGTGTGTGTGTGTCTCTCTCTCTCTCTTTCTGCGTGGGTGCTGACGACTGCAAAACCAGAATGCGCCAATTGCCGGGGGGGGGGGGGCTGATGCGTGATTTGATGCGACGTGATGTCGCAGCTGGTGGTGTCGTCGGCCGTGCTGTCTGTTTGTGTTGTGGAGTTGGAAATGCAAGTCTGACACACAACTCACCAAAAACAGGCACATGCACACAAGGTTGGTGTCTTTTGTGTGCGCCAGAACGCGCGACTCAGAACAATACAAAAAAACAAAAATTGTTGTGGTGTCATTTATGCTGTCGGTAACATCAGCGCTGCGCGGCTGGCGAGTTTTGTGTTGCGTTGTGTGTGTGCGGTGCTCGGTCTACCCCCCTTATCTGTCCTTCTCGCGCTGTTCAGACCCTTTCCTCGTCTGTGGCGCAGGTTGCGTTGAAGCTTTGGTCTTCTTGTAGTGCAGTTGTAACAACGTCAAGCGGAATCACGGAGCCAATACCGAAAACAACAACGGACAAACTAAGACACATAAGACAAGCAAGGGGTAATGACAGCATTCACACACATTACATGACGAAACAGAAGGACGTTACAACACATCATAGTAAGGGCAGGAAGGGAGCGTGCCTCTCATTAACCAACCAATCAATCAATCAACGAATCAATCAATCAACCGATCGGAGGCATGATCGACCATTGCATGCAGCCCAAAAGCAGCACCGCTCATCACCACTGTCGTCATACGTCGTCATTGCTTCCGCTCGGAGGCAAGGGCCATCTGGGCAAGGCGCGCGCGCTCCTCCGCTGACGGCCCACCGCGCCGCCCCGCAGTCGAGTGGCCCGCCTGTCAAGCAGCATCAGTGGTGCATGATAGGCGTGAGCACAAGAGGGTTAATGCTTGTGTATGCGCAGGCGAGCTGGTGGACAGACAGACAGACAGACAGACAGACTAACTGACAGACAGAGAAGCAGGAGAGACTTAGAGGGAGAGAGACAGACAGAGAGCTACACACACACACACACACACACGCACACACACACACACACACACGGACACAGACACAGATAACCACACAGACTGACAAGATACACCAACACACCAACACACACACAGACACAGACATACACACACACACCGACCGAGGTCTTTGCTGCCTGCAGCGCCTGTTCAGCAAGACGGGCCCGCTCCTCCGCGGACGGCGGCACTTTCCGCTGCTGCCGGGGAAGCGTCGCCTCCTTCTCCATTGCCGCCTGCGCCTGCTGTGCCAACTGCACACATATGCACACATATGTCAAAATGCAGGGAGACGTTGGTGCGTGAGGAGGCCAAGTGTGGGCAGGTGTAGGTAGTGTGTACGTGCAAACGAGCGCCTTGCTGTCGTACAGCCACAAACTCACTCACACGCACACATGGGCAGACAGACAGACAGACAGACAGACAGACAGACAGACAGACAGACAGACAGACAGACACACATGAACACACACACACGCACACACACATAAGCACACCCCTACCCTCATGCGCTCCTCCATGCTCGGGCCCGAGTGGCCGCGGCGGGCAGACGCGTCCTTCTGCGCGAGTGCCTGCTGCAGCAGCTGTTCCACCCCAATCGGTGCCATGTGCAGCCAAGCGTGGTGTGTGTGTGTGTGTGTGTGTGTGTGTGTGTGTGTGTGTGTGTGAATGATCACCAACGGTGAGCAGCTGGCATTTGTTGCATAGCAGCGAGCGCATGTTCTTGCACTCACACCCGTGTTGTTGTTGTTGTTGTTGTTGTTGGCGTCGTCGTCACGATAACGCATCACAACCAACACCACTACCACCAGCACATCATAATCACCATCAGCAGCTCGGCACCTTTTGGCGCTCTTCCTCCGTCGGGCCGTGGCGCGAGGGTGTGGGGTCATCCGCCTGCATGCCGTAGGACACATGCGCCGCTGGTGAGAAAATGGCGGATGAGGCACACCGCACGATACGCCTTGGGCACAACGAGCTTGTGCAAGGGCTGATGAACCAAACGAGAAGATGGCCTGCTCACCTTCTTCAGCTCCTGCTTAGCGTCTCGTGCTGCCTATCGCATGGCCATTCCAACAACGCACAACATCATGTGCTGTGAGAAAACGACGAGCAACCTTGAGAGTAAGGAACGCAGTGCGTTTACACACTCAGGCAGACACACACACACACACACACAACACACAACACACAGGCAGACGCAGACACACAACACACACGCACACACACACACAAGGGGCAAGGTGTTGAGTCTCACAAGCGCCTCGAGACGAAGTCGCTCAAACTCAAGCTCCTGTGGTGTCATGTCGCCTATGCAATGCACAACGCAGAGTCAATGTGAGGTGGTGGCCAAGGGATTCGGTGTACGGAGGGCCATAGTAGCATGAATCGAAGCATCCCAGGAACACGCGTCATCACACGCGCACGCATGCAGCGGCCATACTTTGTTTGGGCTTCTCCTCTTTCTTGTCCTTCTTGTCGTCGACGAGGTCTTGAAGACTGCTGAGCGTCTCTGCACCAGGGTCGCTGGGAATGGGGGCGTACAAAGGCACCTCGGGAACCTCCTGCTTCGCAGGCTCGGCGTACAAGCTGCCAACCACCAACAAAACCAGGGTGTGTGTGTGTGTGTGTGTGTGTGTGTGTGTGTGTGTGTGTGTGTGTGTGTGTGTGTGTGTGTGTGTGTGTGTGCACGCGCGTGTGTGTGTATGTGGGTGAGGTAGGCGTGGTTGCGCAAGAACGGAGTCAGTTGGTCGGCCAATGCGGAGCGGAACCAAGACAGGGAAGGTGAAATGGGGGTCTTGAAGAGCGTGCACGCAGAGAAGGAGGACGACAAACACGAGTGCAAGCATGTAACACCACAACCAACACTACCAAGACTACCAACACAACCAACGTCATCAACCAGAGGGAGGACGCAGTACAAAAGGCAACATACGGCAGCAAGCAAGCCCAGCACGCAAAAAGATGGACATCCAAACGTCTGTGCACGAGCGCACAAGCTCAGCACAAGCTCAGCACAAGCTGTCAGGGCACGAAGCAAGCAACGAGGCGAGGCGAGGCGAGGCGAGGCGAGCAACGTACGGTTCGTCGCCCATCGCTTCTTGTGGTTTCGTCTGCTGTCTGTTCGGTTGGCGCTGCTTGCAGAGGACTCTGTTGTAGAAAATCAAATCAAAATTTGCGACAATTTTCCGCAAAGAAGTTTTTTGTCGTCTTCCACCACCACCACCCATGCACCAATCACGCACCACCTGCTTGTTCCATCACACGGTTCGTGGGTCAGTCAGTCATTAAAAGGGGGAGGAACTACGACACCAAGGAAGGAACCCACACGGAGAAACAAGTGAGAAGGGGACAGGGGTGCTCCTGGATAACTCACAAAGGGCACCAGCCGCGGGGAATGTCTATGGAGGCACAACAAACACAGAGAAGCAAACACACAGGCACAGAACCAAACACGCACACAGGCAGAGCAGCAGCAGCAGCAGCAGCACACACACACACACACACACACACACGCACACACACACACACACACACACACACACACACACACACACACACACACACACACACACACACACACACACACACACACACACACACACAACACAAGAGCAGGTGTATTCGGGGGCAAGGGGGGGGGAGCAACGAAAGGGGTCCGATAACAGTGTGCGACTCAAAACCATCGCCACCGCCGCGCATGGCTCCAATCAACACAAACCATAGGCAGCAAACAACAAGCAACAAGCAACAAGCAACAAGCAACAAAAGGAGAAAGGTGGATGGGTTCACGCGCTTGAGTCTGCAAAGGTGAAGCTGAACTCCAAGTCCTTGAGACGCTCCATTGACTCCTCCATCGTCTCCTGCAGTGTCGCCTGCCGCTTCTGGTCCTCCGCGGCCTTTGCCTTGTCAATCTTCATCAGCACGTACTCGCGAGCAGCCTGTTCCTCCTGCTGCTGCCGCGAGAACTGCTCCTGCATCTGTCGTCGCCGCTCCTCTTGCTCTTTTGCCCGCTGCGTCCGCTGCGCTTGGAAGTACTCTTCAAGCTCCCCGCCAAAGTCTGCGCACGCGTGCGTGTACGTGTTTTTCGGTAGAGGCGTTTCAGTGTGTATGAGAGTGTGTGAGAGTGTGAGTTGAGTTGTGGGAGTGTGTATGAGAGAGAGAGAGAGTGTGTGTGTGTGTATGTGTGTGTGTGTGAGTGGATATGTGTAGGTTTGAGGCTGAGCGTGCGTACAAACTGTGAGCATGGTGGGGGTTCCCTTGCACAGCAACAAACCAAGACACCCTCAAGCAACTTTCAACCACGAACCGTCCTCCCCCCCGCTTCCCCAATCAGCACAGCACGTGTAATGTGACCTGGAAGCGCAGAGGCATCGCCCTCAAAGTCATCGTCGTCGTCGTCTTCGTCTTCATCATCGTCGTCATCATCATCGTCACCGTCCATGACAGCATCATTGTACGCATTCATGAATGACGTGTAGCGGGACAGGCCGCGATCACCACGGCTCAGCCTGATACCGCTCATGCCGTCAGCATCAAACGTGTCATCACCCTCGCCATCATCATCGGCATCATCGGCAGGGCCGTCGCCAACAGCCTGCTCTCGCTCCAGATACCGATCCCGCACACGCACTTCTCGCGTCTGCACGTGGAAAGGAGAAGTGAGAAGGAGTGTGTGTCGTGTGAGCGTTGTGTGTCGTGTGTGTCGTGTGAGCGTTGTGTGTGTATGTGTGTGTGTGGGGGGGGGGGAGAGGGAAGTGAAACGGTTGCAGGACAGTTGAAGGGGTCGACCAACTCAACGTTCCACACACACACACACACACACACACACACACACACACACGCACACACACACACACACACACACGCACACACACACACACACACACACACACACACACACACACACACACACACACACACACACGCACGCACACCTGGTCAGTTTGCTCCTTGAAGAGGCGCTGTGGGTTGAGGGCTTGGTAGATGCGACTGTGCTCCTGCTGCGTGTCGGCCTCCTGTTGGGAGGGCAGCAGCCCCAGGCGCCGATACCGCTCCCGCTGCTTCGCTGTCAGCCCATCGCTCCCAACTTCCTCCTCCTCCTGCCTTTCGGCTGGTTTGTCTTGTCCTTCTTTCTCTGACACCTGGTCCTTCTCTGGCTGTTGCTGCTCCTGTTGCTGTTCCTGCTTCGCGTGCCCCGGCCTCTTCTCTTCCTCGTCGGCCGCGCCCCCTTCGTTCTCGGATTTCCCTTGTGCCGCTGTTGCTGTTTCCGCAGCGGCAGCTTCGGTGACGCTCTTCTCTCCTTCAGCGGCCGGCTTCTCTCCACCCTGCTCACCTTCCCTTTCTTCTTCTTCTTCCTCCTCCTCTTCCTCTTCTTCAGCCACGGCCTTCAGGCCTGTTCCAACTGCAGTCGTCGCTGCTGCCACCGTGGGCAGCGTGTCCGCCTGCTCCTCGTCAACTGTCACTTCGTCTTCGTCGACGGGTGTGTCCTCTGGAACAAGCTCCCCCGCCATCGTCACAACAGGCTCCTCCTCGCCTTCTTCGTCTGCTTCCACCGGTTTCTTCGCTGCATCTTCTTCCTCCTCCTCTCCCTGTTTCTCCTTCTCATCCGCCTGCACCGCTTCTGCTTTCGTGCTGGCGCTGTCGTCGCCCGGCGTCGCCTTTGCTGCCTGTGCGCTCTTCTTCATCGCTGCGCGCGAAACGCTTCGAAGTCGCATGCGAGACCGCGATGCCCCAGAGAACGTGCGGCCATCGCCGCTTTTGCCCTCGGCATCCACTCCGCCTTCCTTCTCTGCGTCTTGCGTCGTCTCTGCACCGGCTGCCTGCTGTTGCTCTGCAGCCGCGCGTGCGGCCTCGCTCGTCTCCGTAGCGGCCGCTGTTGATGCTTGCTTGTCCTTGATCGCCGACAGCGCTCGCACCCTGGCAGGGTCATCGTGCGAGGGCGGTTGAGGGGACGGGAGAGGTTTGGAGTGTGCGACAGAATATGAGTGAGCATGAGACGGTGTCAGTGAGAAAGAGAGAGAGCGCGGGAGAGAGATACAGAGAGATACAGAGAGAGTGTGTGTGTGTGTGCGTGTGTGCGCGTGTGTGTGACGTCGTGCACATAAACCAGGCAAGCAAGCACAGCAAACACGAACCGAAAGCAAAGCAAAGAAAAGCCCAGCATGCCAGACCTTGCTGCTGCAGCGGATGCGGTGGAGGACGCGTGCGACTTTGACGAGCGGACGGCGACAGAGACGGAGAGGCGACGCACGTCATCTGTCAGCTTCTGGTTGACGAGCTCTCCAACATCGCGCGCAGGTGGGAAGGTCTGCGCCGCCGTCGACATGTGTTCGCTCAGCTCGGCCTCAAGCTCGGCAAAGGTCGGCCGATTGCCCGGGTCAATCGCCCAGCACTGAGCAACAATCACGCACGATGCGTGTGTGTGTATGGGTGTGAACATGGAGTGCGTGCGTGTGTGTGTGTGTGTGTGTGTGGGGGGGTGGGGGTGAACATGGGAGTGCAAGTGTGTGTGTGTGTGTGTGTATGTGTGTGTGTGTGTGTGTGTGTGTGTGTGTGTGTGTGTGTGTGTGTGTGTACGTGCGAGGGCAAGCGCGTGTGTGATTGTGTGTTTGTGTGAGCATGGGTATACGGCATTACGTTGTGCGGCAGGGCAAGACGAAGCACAAAGGACACAAACGACACCACCGGCGTTCCCTAACAGAACCGAACAACAGCAGCAACAGCAGCAGTTACCAGTTGCCGGCAGCGCACCTTGTTGAGTGTGGCGTACACGGCGTCGGGGCAGCCCACTGGCTGCGGAAGGCGGAGGCCTTTGCGCACACGCGCAGGCACCTCCGGCACGGGGATCTTGGCGCAGTCGCATTGGAAGACGGCAAGGGGAGAGCAGGGTTGTTGTTTGGAGAGGAAGGGGGTTTGTTGGTAAGTGGGGCGGAGAAGCAGTAGAAGGGGGGGGGGCGGAATGCAGCAAACAGGGCATCATGATGAATCGTGCATGACTAAGCTTCTGGGCGAAACCAAGACACACACATAAGCACACGCACACACGCACGCACACACACATAAGCACACACAACCACCCCACCTCCTTGAACGGCGTGGCGCCCATGGAAAAGATCTCCCATGCACAGACACCAAAGGCCCACACGTCTGTTGGTTCGCCAAAGCGCTTCGACTTGAGGGCATCGGGCGGGATCCACTTCACCGCCAGCTTCAGTGTCTCCCGCATGAGCCAGTAGTCTTTGCCTTCGTCAAACGGGCGCGTGAGGCCAAAGTCGCCAATCTTCACCGTGTTCCCCGTGTGCAGCAGGCAGTTGCGTGCAGCCAGATCCATGTGCACATACCGCTGGTGTGTGTGTGTGTGTGTGTGTGTGTGTGTGTGTGTGTGTGTGTGTGTGTGTGTGTGTGTGTGTGTGTGTGAGGAAGGTGTATGAGCGCACGTATATGCCAACACGTGTATGTGGGCGTGTGTGATGCAAAACGGAGAGTGGCCGCCAAGGTGCAGGGCAGGTGCTGTTGGCACATGATGGTTGCAGCACCAACAGCTCACCTTCTCGGCCACAAACTTCATGCCGCGTGCAATCTGCAGGGCAAAGTGGAGCTTCTCTGTGTCGAAGAGGGCAATGTTTTTGGCCTGGATTGCATCAAGCACGCCCGAGAGATCGCCGTATTGCATAAACTCAAGCACGCACAGCCACGGCTTCTGCGTCACGTTCAGACCGACGACAGACACGAGATGCTGCACGCAATCAACAGAGGGGACGTGACGTGCGTATGAGAATGGGGGGGGGGGTTCAAATCGAAGCCATGTCAACTTATGAAGGAAACATACACACACACGTAAACATACTCCCAAGCACACGTGCGCAACTTCCAATACACACACATTCTCACACACACAAACCCACGCTCGCGCACACATCTGCACACAAGAGGAGACACGTGGCTGCCGGTGACAACGGCACACTGCTCACCTCGTTCCTCAATTCGCTCATGGTTTGCACTTCGCGCAAGAACATTTTCTGAACACGCAGCGGGAGAGAGAGAGAGAGAGAGAGCGTGCGTGCGCGTGTGGGTGTGTGTGTGTGTGTGTGTGTGTGCGTGCGTGCGTGCGTGTGTGAGTGAGTGCAACACGGAGGACACAAGGGGGTAAGGATGGCAACATGACAAACTGTATGAGAAGATACACTCCAAACTGCAGAGTGCAGCCTAAATAGCCCCGCCGACTCGCGGGAAGCAGTGACAGCAACGACAAGCAAGCAGACAGACAGATAGACAGGCCTGCAAGCGAGGAGATAAGCAAATCACAGGTGCATGAGATGCGGCACCTGTTCGCGTGCAGTCGACTTTCCGCGCAGGAGTTTCACTGCTCGCTGGACCTTCTCTCCGTCCTCCATCTTCTGGTCGGCAAGGTAGACCTGGGGGTGATGGGGGAAAGGCGAGGCAAGCGGTGGAAGGTTGACGGCCATCACAGTGTGAGTTGTGGTGGTGGATGTATTGCAGAGACTCAACGCAATGGCTGCGTGGTGAAAAAACCGTCACTTGCCGGATTAAAAACAGGGGAACACACCCACACACATACGCAGGAGCGCACACACGCAAACACATGCACGCACACACACACACACACAATACACACACACGTACACAGTACACACCTTTCCGTAGACGCCGGAGCCGAGGACCTTGAGGGCGATGATTTGTTCTCTGTTGATCTGGAGTTCTCGCAGCGCCGCCGGCAGCTCTTCCTCCTCGTTGGCGCTGTCGCTCACAAACGGTTTCGCCGTCTCCACCTCCTGCGAAAACGCCTGGAACGCCTTGGACACAATCTGCACAGGTGTACATGGCGAGGAGGACAGTCGGTAAGGACGAAAAGGAGGCAGAGGGTGATGCGGGGAAGGGTTGTGGAACCACTGGCGATGTGTGCAGCAAATTCTTCCACAACACGGAACACAATATTCCATAACCGCACACGCTGGGCAGCATCACAACGCCCTGAACACACACACACACACACACACACACACACACACACACACACACACACACACACACACACACATGCTCAACACCACCGCCAACCACCACTCCCCACCCCTCTTCGTGCGCACCTTGCAGATGTTCTCGCCCATGCCGTTCTGCACCTCAAAGACAAAGCACTTGTTTGAGTCCGTGCGGGCGTCGCGCTGAATAAACGCGAAAAAGTCCCGGCGCTTGTCCAGAATGCCTGCGGTGGTGTACGTGACGCTGCGAATAAAGCAGTTGTCCATGACGCGGGAGGACAGGCGGTCCACAATGCGAATGGCCTCGTTGGTGACGGCAAGCAGGACCCCATCGCCGGCAAGGCGACGCGATGATCGCCGCTTCTTCTTGTCCGTTTTCTTGCCAATGATGCCGAGGCTGGAGAAGGCGTGGCATGTGTGTGTGATGGTGTGTGTGATGGTGTGTGTGTGCGTGTGTGATGGAAGGGAGGAAGAGTTGTGGGTGGAATATAATGGCGTGTTAGGTCGCGCATAACACCACATCTGATGGCGCATGAACGCACGCACATCCACAGTTCAGCACAACGCTTCACAATTGGCACCCAGAACCCACCTGCCCACTCAAACACCACACACACACACACGCGCGCGCAAACAACGATGAGCGTACTCTGTGAGGGCCTCGTCAATGGCGTCTGGGCCCTTCATGGCCTTGACGTTGGTGGACCCGAGCAGCTTGGCAACAAACGTGCCCATGGACCGAACATTGCTGGCGGCCGCGCTGGCACTCTCATCTTTCTTCGCCGCTTCCTTGTTAGCAGCGGTGTCATCATCACCAGCGCTGCCGTCGCCGTGCGCCTTCTTGCTACCGGCGCTTGTTGTTGCTGCGCGCGTCTTTGTCTCCTCTGCTGGCCCTGATGACGAGGACGGCGATGGCTGCTGCTGCTGCGTGGCATCGGGTGCATCGCTGCCCGTGAGCGCTGTTGATGATCCTGGCATGGACGATGAGGTCGGCTCAATGTCCGCTTCGCCCTTCTGCCGCGTCAGCAAGTTGAGCGACCGGCGCTTCAGGCGCTGGAACGCCCCTTTCTTCTCAGAGCTGTCGCCACGGGCACTCCTGCTGCTGCTGCTGCTGCTGGCGGTGGCGGTAGCGGTAGCGTGGGATGCAGAGGTGGTGGCGGCCCGGCGGGCTGTGCGGGTTGTCAGCGGCTTCACCTTGATTTCCTCCACGCGCTCGTGAGCTGCATCCTCGCCGAGGGACTGTACGCATTTGTGTGTGTGTGTGTGTGTGTGTGTGTGTGTGTGTGTGTGTGTGTGTGTGTGTGTGTGTGTGTGTGTGTGTGTGTGTGTGTGTGTGTGTGTGTGTGCGTGTGTGTGTGTGTTGGGCCGACGTGTTAAATCGCGTCACCGGTACAAAAGAGACAACAGATTGGGACTGTAGATTGCCACATGCATGCAAACGCCTGCAAGTCGCACTTACAGCTTGCTCCTTGAGCACTTCAAACGCCTTTGCGATGGTTGCTGGAAGGAGGCGGGCCTTTTCCTTGATGGTGAACATGTGGCACAGCGTGATGCGGATGTCTGGATCCTCGGACACATACGCAAACATGGAGTGGTCGCTGTGCAACAGGCCAGAGTACACAATCTGCACCCATCATGTGTGTGCGTGTGTGCATGTGTGGGAAGGTGTGTTTGGGTACCGCAATGGTGGAGGAGCAAGCACACAAGAGGGGATGTGGTTGAGGGACCGTGGTGAGTGCGGGTGCAGCGGAACAACACAAGGCGAACGTGCTTGAGTTGTGCAGTGGGCGCAGCCACGTCATGGAGACAGCATTGGCACAGGCACAGGCATATGCAAACAAGAAAGCGCATGCACACACATACGTGCTCGAGCGGGGTTCTCTGCAGCCTGTTGTGTGTTTTGCGGCCCCAGGTGGTGACTTGTCGGCTGGACACGCCGACGTACACCTACACCATCCCATCAAGCAAAACCATGTGTGAGTGCCAACGGCAGAGATCCACGGAGCTGCGCCAGAGAGATGAAGCCCGCCTCTGAACTCTGTGTCACACACACACACACACACACACAAAACACACAAACACACACACACACACACACACACAAAACACGCAAACACACACACACACACACACGCACGCACGCACGCACGCACGCACGCACGCACGCATACACCTTGCGTGGGATTTGGTTGAGCGTCTTGCACTGATCAAAGCACAAGGAGACGGTGAAGTTGTCCACAGGCACATCTGCAGGCTTGTTCATGGGCACTGTGCCGAGGTACACGGCCTTGTACAGACCAAGCACCACGTCGCCCTCCGCCTCTGCCCGTGTGCGTTGCACGAGGGGATTGTTGTAGCATGTGCGCATGTCAGCGTGTGAGCGTGGATATGTGATATGTGTGTGTGCGTGTGTGTGTTTGGGGGTGGTGCATGTGCGGGTAAATGGATGCGTGGGCGTACACAAGTGCACAAACACACACAGACACACACACAGACACACACACACAGACACACACACACAGACACACACACAGACACACACACACACACAGACACACAGACACACACACACACACACAGACACACACACACACACTACTCCCGCCCCCAACAACCATCCACACCTTGAATCTCATGTGTTCGCATGGTGCTGGTGTCTTCCTGCTCAGCTTCTTCATTCGTGGCAATTGACGAAAGACTTCCACCATTTTTCGGCACGCCAACTTGTTCCACAAAAAGCGAGCGAGCAAGACAAGCGAGCAAGACGAGTGAGCACATGTGAACCACCACGCCTTGAGACCAGTGCGTTCCCCGCCACAACAACAACAACAACAACAACGGTTGTTTGCATGTTCCATTGGTAGCTTGTTGCTGGTTTCATTGCTTTGTGGGTGCGAGAGGAACCACATCAAGCGCCTCACGCCCTCCAAAACGACACAGATAGACCACAAGGGGTTTCACCTCCGACATGAACAACAAGAATGACATCAACGAGCATGACAGCAACATGACATGGAACAGCCACAACAACAATGACAACATCACGTGACAACAAAGCTGACGACTGACAAGGCGTCATTGGCAAGTGGTGACGTGACCAACAACGCAAGCTTGCGCGCGATCGTGAGCGCGAGCGTATGTGGGTGAGAGGTGTATTGCTCAAGAGTAGAGGTCCTCGTCGTCCTCGGCCGTGTCCTGTGCGGGCGCCTGGCCAACTTCGCCTTCACCACCCTCGACCTGCGTGCCAGACTGGGTGGGGAACCTGAGCACCATCCAAGGAAAGAAAGGGTCAGGGGGTTGGAGTGAGTTGAGCGAGACAAGGAAGGAAGTAAGCAAGCAAGGAAGATAAAAAAGAATCGCATCACACGAAACGACAAACACACACACACACAACACACACACAACACACACACACACCTGAAGTCGGTGCCGAGGCCGCGGGACTGGTGGAGCGTCTGGGCGAACATCTCGTACTTGCGAATGTCGTTGTCCGAGACGGAGCGGCGGGCAAAACGCATGGCCTCCTCAAAGTGGCCGCGGGTGATGGCGGGGACCAGGTCCTCCTCCTCCTCCGTGTCCATGTACGCGTCCGGGTTCTCCTCGCGGGCGCGCTCCATCTCCACCTCGCGCATGATGCTCTCGCGGATGGCCAGCTTGGCCGCGCGCTGGCAAATCTCCGTCAGGTCAGCGCCAGAGAAGCCGTGCGTCTTGGAGGCGAGGAACGACAGGTCCACGTCGGGCGCAATGGGCGACTTGCGCAGGTTGGCCTTGAGGATGCCCAGGCGCGACGCCTCGTCCGGCAGCGGGATGTAGATGAGCTGGTCCAGGCGGCCGGGCCGCAGCACGGCGGGGTCAATCACGTCCGGGCGGTTGGTCGCCCCAATGATGAACACGTTCTTCTTCTGGTTCATGCCGTCCATCTCCGTGAGGACCTGGTTGATGACGCGGTCCGAGGCGCCGCCGGCATCGCCGAGGCTGCCGCCGCGCGCCTTGGCAATCGAGTCGAGCTCGTCAAAGAAGAGCACGCACGGCGCAGCGGCGCGCGCCTTGTCAAAGACGTCGCGCACGTTGGCCTCAGACTCGCCAAACCACATGGTGAGCAGCTCGGGGCCCTTGATGCTGATGAAGTTGGCCTGGCACTCGTTGGCAATGGCCTTTGCCAGCAGCGTCTTACCGCAGCCGGGCGGGCCATAGAAGAGCACGCCCTTGGACGGGTTCATGCCAAACTTGAGGAACTTCTCCGGGTGCTCCACGGGATACTGCACAAGCTCCTGCAGCTCGCGCTTGACCGCCTCCAGGCCGCCAATGTCGTCCCACGACACGTTCGGCACCTCAACGACTGTAATTCAAGGGATAGGATAGCAACCAAAAAATTTTTTTTGGGGGGGGGGGAAGGGAAGGAGTACTGTTGTTAGGGACAGCAAGGAGGAGGAGACAACACACAGAGACGCGCAGACATACATGAACACACACGCGCGCGCGCGCAAACACGCAATCACACAAGCACAGACACAAGCAAACACACACACACACACAATCTCTCACAATCACACAGCCACACGCAAAAGCACACGACACGCACCCATTTCGCGGAGGGCGGAGGGGTTGGACTGGCCGAGGGCAAAGCGGAAGTTGTCCATGGAGACGGCGAGGCTGTTGAGAATCTCGGCGTCAATGGTGTCCTCCTCCAGATCAATCACGTCGATGCGCTCGCGAATCTGCTGCAGGGCGGCCTCGGAGCACAGCGCAGCAAGATCTGCGCCAACGTACCCGTGCGTCTCCTTGGCCACCTGCTCCAGGTCCACGTCGTCGGAGAGCTTCATGTTCTTGGTGTGGATGCGCAGAATCTCCAGGCGCCCCGTGGCGTCTGGGATGCCAATGTCCACCTCGCGGTCAAAGCGGCCAAAGCGGCGCAGCGCGGGGTCGATGCTGTTGGGCCGGTTGGTGGCGGCCATCACCACGACATGCGCGCGCTGCTTGAGGCCGTCCATGAGGGTGAGCAGCTGCGACACGGTGCGGCGCTCCACCTCGCCCTGCGTCTTCTCGCGCTTGGGCGCAATGGCGTCAATCTCGTCAATGAAGATGATGGCCGGGGCGTTCTTCTCCGCCTCCTCAAAGGCCTTGCGCAGGTTGCTCTCGCTCTCGCCAGCCATCTTGCTCATAATCTCTGCAAACAGACACAGACAACAAACAAGATGGCAAAAGTTAGCGCGCGCGCGTGGTGTGTGTGTGTGTCGATTTCACAGGGAAATGGGGATTGATGAGTGGAAAAGAGCAACATCACATGGTCGGGGGAGGCTGCATACAAACATACAGACAAACAAACAAACAAACAACAACAACAACAACAACATAAAAAAAAACACAAAAAAAAAAAAACACGGCAAGAACAAATGCCTCAGAGCAGCAGCACGAGCCGAACCTGGGCCGTTGATGAGGAAGAAGAAGGCGCCCGTCTCGTTTGCAACGGCGCGGGCCAGCAGCGTCTTGCCGGTGCCTGGCGGGCCGTACAGGAGGATGCCGCGCGGGGGCTTCACGCCAATGGACTTGAACAGCTGCGGGTGGCGCAGCGGAAGCTCGACCATCTCCTTGATCTGCGCCAGCTGCTTGGAGCAGCCGCCAATGTCGTCGTAGCCAATCTCATCGAGGCGCGCCTCCTCGTCCTCGCGCTTGATGGGGTTGCCCTCGCAGTGGATCACTGTCTCCGGCGCAACAACGCAGTACGGCTCAGGGTCCGTCTCAACAACCTTGAACTCCACGGCGCGCATGCCACCGCGCACAAGGAATGTGTCACCTAACAAGATGCAATTGTGAGTGAGTGAGTGTGTGAGTGAGTGAGTGAGTGTGTGAGTGTATGTGAGTGAATGCGTGTGCTCACAATGTACGCTTGCATGCTGGCCATTCATCACAACACCAAACAAACAAACAAACAAACAAGCAGCAGCAGCAGCAGCAGCAGCAGCAAAAGCTCACCCTTGCGGACGGGGCGGTATGCCTCGAGGAAGTATGGGCGGAGGTAGGCGTCAAAGAGGTTGCCTGTGAGGCCCTCGACAGAGTCGTCAAAGGGAAGCACCTGAATGCGCTTGCCGTATGGAATGTCGGGGAAGGGCTGCAGGCTGACAATGTCGCCAATGCGCACGCGGAGGTTGTTGCGGGCCACGCGGGTGAGGCGCACGCGGTCCTCCTGGCAGCTCGGGTCCGGCAGCGCAATGCACACCTACAACACGTTTGCGCGTGCGTGAATGTGTATATGTGTATGTGTGTGTGTGTGTGTGTGTGCGAGTGAGTAAAGCATGTGTGTGTGTGGGCAGTCAAGCGTGCATGTTGCATCGCGAAAGAACAACGACGTTTTGGTGTGAAAATGACAAGGCGAAGAGCAAGATGCAGCTCATTCGTCAGCACAAGCGTGGCGCAAGCCAGTTGTGTGGAAACGCACCGTGTCCTGTTTGCGCTTGCCCTTGATGAGGGTGACGTCGCCGTGGAAGAGGCCGAGCTCGTCCATGCGTGCCTGGTTCAGGGCCACGACAGAGTCGTCGTCGTTGACGGCATCCTCAACAATGAGGCGGTGTGGGCGCCGGCGCTCTTCCGGCTGCTGTTGCTGCTGGGCCTGTTGATCTTGGTCACTGTACGCGCACGCGCGCGCGCGCGTGTGTGTGTGTGGGGGGGGATGTGAATGTGAGTTTGTGTGGGGGGATGTGAATGTGAGTTTGTGTGGGTGCATTTGTATTTGCGCGTTTGCTTGTGTGCGAGAGAGAGAGAGAGAGCGCGCGCGAATGCGTATACGTGTATGCGTGTGCACATGTGTGTTGGGTGGAGACACCGGCAAGATGCGTCGTCGACAAGAGTCAGTTTGCACTTTTCAAGCAAAGCGCGCGCATGCATGGAAGGCAACGCAACCCTACGATCAACACAATGAGTATGAGGAACACAACTTGCACACTCAACGCACCTCATGACTGTCTGGTGATGTGAATTGCAAGGGGAAAAAAAGGCGGTTGTCCAAGCGGTTCAGAAAGCCTTGTTGTGGATGCGGTTGGGCTGGCGTTGGTTCTTCTGAACAGGAAGTAAATGGAGCGTGGCAAGGGGAAAAGACCAAGCACGGCAGTGGTGGTGAGCTTGGTGCGCACACCAACGAGCAAATGAAGGGCATTGCGTCGACAAAATGCAACGCACGCACACACACACACACACACACACACAGAGCGCGCAAGCAAAGGCGACTGTGAAATCCAACGTGTGTCCACGACAGCAACGTCACACCGCATCACACCATTGGCGGGAGCACACTTTTAAGGACGTGGCACCACATACACACAGGGTGACGCACAGACGCGCGCACAGAGAAGCATACACACAGAGACATGTACATTCTTCCTCTCGTATTCTCTCTCTGTGTGTGCAATGGTGAAGGACATACCAGGCAGACAACGGCTGCTGTATTTGGTCTTCGTTGGCTTGGCCTTGCTTCAACAAGGAGAGGTTGGCGTCTCTGTGGGATGGACGAAGCAACGCACACACGCAAACGCAAACGCAAACGCAAACGAATGGATGCAATACATGCACGCGCCACAGAACAACAGAAGTGAGTTCACATAAGTGAACAAGGAGCAAACGGCAACGACGACGCCGCCGCCGCTCATGGTGCTGGTGGTGGTGCGCACCCACATGACCGCACGAACGCGCGGCTGGATGTAAGAGGAGGACGGTCAAGCGAGCACCAACGCACACCATACACGCACCTTTCGTTCGTTTGTTTGTGTGTGATGGATGTGTGTGATCTTGCTGTGCGGTCGTGGCGCTGACATGCAAAAGTGAGAATCTGACGACACACAGCAACAGCAGACACGTAGCAGCAAGAAGCAGCAGAAGCAAAAGCAACGCAAGAGTAAGGAAAAGAAACCGTCTCGATCGCGTGGAATCTTGGGAAGACTCGGCCAATTTTCTGTGTCGACCATGTGCATTTATTTTTGGGGACGAACGGCGGGGAACAAAAGGCATTATTTGCTGTCGGGAAAGACACGCGCGCGTGGACCGTGGTGGCAAAGATGACAGAGGTGCGCTGGATGCTTGTACTTTTGTGTGCGTGGATGTGTGTGTGTGTGGTGTGTGTGGTGTGTGTGGTGTGTGTGTGTGTGTGGTGTGTGTGTGTGTGTGTGTGTGTGACTCTGTGAGTGTGTGTGTGTGTGTACTTGTGTGTGTGTGTTGGATGTACTAAATCCTTGCTCATTGGAACACTTGCTCACTTGTGCTCCGTCGTTCACTTGAACTCCGTCGTTCGCTTGTGCTCCCTCGTTCGCTTGTGCTCCCTCGTTCACTTGTGCTCACTGTTCATCACACGCCCTGTCGACAGCAAAGCAACGATGCGAAGATGAAGGAGCTTCTAACCCAAGTCGAAAAGCTGGAGAAGGAAAACAGCTTCCTGCGAAAGGGTGCGTTTTGTGTTGACATGTGTGCATGCTTGTCTGTGTGTCTTGTCGACGGCTATGTGTGTCTGTACGTGTGCGTGTGTGCGTGCGCACATGTGTGTGTACATGCGTGTGCGTGCTCGTGCATTTCGCTTTGTCTTTCTTTCTCTGGATCTTTTTGTCAGTACATGGCCACACTATGTGTGGTGCCTGTCGACAAACGCACTCCAACACACTTACACACTCGTACACTCCAACACACTTACACACTCGTACACTCCAACACACTTTCACACTTTCACACTCCAACACACTTACACACTCGTACACTCCAACACACTTACACACTCGTACACTGCAACACACTTACACTCGCACACACGCGTTCGCATCCACTTGACAGAGCTGGACACAATGAAGGAGGAGTTTCAGATGATGGAGCAGCGCGTGTCCGAGTTGTGCAAGGAGCAGGAGGAAGCCAACGCTGCGTTGACGGAGGCAAGTCACACCAGCCACCAACTCCCCGACACAGCCAGCACCAGCCCAACAACGCCTGATTTCAAGCCGTTTGTCAAGCCAGAAGGCGCAGCATCAACGACAGAGAAGACGGCAGCAAAGGAGGCGCAGGCAACAGGCAGCGGCAACAGCGACAATGACAGCAGCAGCAGCAGCAGCAGCAGCAAACCCGGCGGCACTGTCGACAAGGCAGACCAGGCTGACAAGGCCGGCACGGACAAAGCAAGCGATGACAAGAAGGACACGGGCGATGACAAGAAGGACGCGGGCGATGACAAGAAGGAAGCAGAAGCACAAGATAAGGACGGCGACAAAGGTTGCTCCTCTTCAGCACAGTAGTGGCAATAGTTGCGTCAGCCAACCACACTCGCTCACACGCACACACCACTATTGACGCACTCGGATGTGGTGGAAGCTGGAATGGAACACTTGTTCTTTGTTTGATTGTTTTTGCTGGGCGCTGGCACGACATGATGCCTCACTGATAGTGGCACGGGGAGAGGTTGCTTCCCTGTCGCTCTCGCTCTCGCTCTCGCTCTTGCTCTCGCTCTCGCTCTTGCTCTTGCTGTGTTATCCCCCTTCCTTCTTGCTTCCCGCCCTCCTGCTTTGCTTCTTCATTTGCCTTGCTTGCTGATCTGCTTTACTTTTCTCCTCGTATCATTGATGTCAATGCCCACCCCACCACCTTGTCTTTGTGTATTTGTTCGTGGTGGGAAGCAACCTGCAACACACCCGACACACACACACACACACACACCCGACACTCACTCACTCACTCACACACACACACACACACACACACACACACACACTCTCTCTCTCTCTCTCTCTCTCACCACACACACTCTCTCTCATTCTCTTGTCCTCCCGCTCCCTACGACTATTTGTTGAAAGTTTCAAAGAAATAGAACGCACCCGTGAAATGGAGGGAAATGTGTATTTGGCTGCATCCATCAAATCCAAAATTTCCATTACTTGCCTCTGAAACCCACGCACGCGGGAACCCCAGCACCCCGTGTGCCTTTTTCACCTGTGCCTCCTCTCCCTTCCACACACAAGCAGACCGCCAAGGTGAGCACGCTGCGGATATGAGTGCGACATGAGTGCGGCTGCTTGGGGTCGTGTGCGTGTGCGTGCGTGTGCGTGTGTGCCTATGCACGCACCTTCCCGTGTGTGCCTGTGTATTGTGCATACGTGATGCCAGAGCCACGCACGAGGCGTGCCCATGCATGCGCTCGTGTGTACCTCCTTGTCGACACCCACCGCCATCATTATCGTCGTCATTATCGTCGTCATTGCCAGCCTCAGCGACACCCCTCACACCTTGATACACCTCCCACCATATCAATCGCTTCGCACACACACCAAACACACACCAAACACACACACACACGCACACACAAAAGATGGTGATGCCAATCAACAAGCCCAACATTGTGAAGAAGCGCACCAAGCGCTTCAACCGCATGCACTATGACCGCTACAAGTGCCTCAAGGTTTGTCGTGTGTGTGTGTGTGTGTGCGTGAGGTGGTTGATGATTCGTCGCCGCTGCACGATTTCTTCCAACCACGCTGCACGAGCTAGGCGACGACTGTTTGTTGAGGAATACACTCCACCACAATGCTGCAGCTCATCAGCTCATGTGCATGTTCGGTTCCAATTGCATCGTGCTTTCGCTTGCCCTCTTACCCTCTTGTTTTTCTGTTCTTCGCGAGCGCAGCAAGGCTGGAGGAGGCCCCACGGTATTGACGGCCGCTTCCGCCGGCGGTTCAAGGGCCAGCAGAAGCACGCCAAGATTGGCTTCGGCAGCAACAAGAAGGTATGCGCGTGTGATACAAGAGGCGTGTTGCTGGTCGAGTTGGACGGCGGATGAATGAGGCGAAGCTTTGGGACAAGCGAGGCATGATGAACAAGGACAGCCCGGGCGGAGTTGGGGTGTTGGATGTTTGTTGCGAGGATGTGTGGGTCATTGCGGATGACAGATGGGCGTGCGGTTGGTAGTGTTGGATATGGTTTGGTTAGGTTTGGTTTGGTGATATGACATGGCAGGGGAGAAGAAGACGAGGAGGGTGCCTGTTGCGTTGCTTTTGCTTGTCCGGATGAGGTGGTTATGGGTGGCAAGTGGGGGCGCTGTGTTTGCTGCCCTCCCCTCTTTGTTTGACTCTGTCGCACATTGGTGGCTCACAAGATTCCGCTTTACCTGCTGCTTGCCGTTCTTCCCTTCCCGTCCTCCCCTTTGTCTTTGTCAAGACCCGTCACATGATGCCCGATGGCTTCAAGAAGTTCCTCGTCCACAACGTCTCGGTGCGTGGCCATTGCTGCTGCTGCTGCTGTTGTTGTTGTTGTTGTTGTGTGCTCGTTGGGGTCGAGAGTAGCGTTGTGTTGTGTTGTGTTTATTGTATTGGATGTGTCCTTGTGGTGGTGTTGCCTTATGTCCTTTTTGACACGTTGGTTGGTGGTCTTGTTTGCCGTTTGTTGGTTCCCTGTGTACGCACTGCTGCCATCGGCTGCCTCTGCTCTTTGTGTGCGCTGACACAACACACACTCACGCACCAATCAACTTGCCTTGTATTCCCTTGCATTATTTTTTCGTTGTTGTCCATTCGCCTCGCATCCCTTCTTGACGACTTTGTTCTTGCTCGTGTTGTGTGCTCTGCAGGAGCTTGAGGT